CCAAAACAGGGCAATTTGTCATTGAAATAAAGGAAAACAAATAATAAGGAAACTGTGTTTTCCCAGATAACTTTATTATTCATCTTGTCATTTTGACTGTGACTGAAAAATACTGCTTAAATTCATTAGCATGTTTGAATGTGTTTAATTAAATCCAATATAGCTGTGCAGCATTTATCTCATGAAGTCTAATTTAAATCTAGTACGGTGTGTAGAATTTAAATGATTTATAAGTAACACAAATTTTTGGTATGATTTGTGACACAGAAGTCTTAACATAGGTTATACCAAGGTATTTTAAGTATTTCAAAACTAAAAGAAAACCTCTTTCATTCAGAATATTTTATTGCTGTAAAATCTTTATGTGACTTTTTCATGCAAATATTACTGTGAATAAATTAACTTATTGCAAGAGGCAAGATTTTTAATAGGATCGATCAAAATGCTTGTTAAGCATCGACTTGTAAGTTAATGCTTTTAGTAACATAAATACTTGATTTTCCTGCCCAATAAGTTGTTCTTGTCTTACCCTAGAAATCTGTCCTTTGGTAAGGTTGGCTGAAAAAGTCAGAAATTCAAATGTATTACGGTGCCATTGAGATGATTTTGATAAATTTGGAGTGTGATACCATTATATACACCCTAGATTTGCTGAACTTTATGGAGGAGTATGTTACTCATCAATTTCCTGCATATCTGATGTTTGTAAGATATAAAAAGTTATAAAACAAAACACTGAAACCTGTTGCAGTATTTCTTAGTGTGCAGGAAGAAATCAGAAATTATTTCTAAGGCTCTAGCGTTGATTACAGTGAGCAATTTTGCCCTTGAAATTTAACTTGGGCTTCTTTCTGTCTTTTTGAACATTGATTTCACTTTTTCAATAGACATACAGTATGATAAAACGTTTATTGGTATGTGCAAGTAGTCTTTTTCTAAATAGTACTTCAAATCAGAAAATGTTTCTTAATTGTGATTGCTGGTTCAGGAAGGGAGAGAAATAAGAATTTGTACAGCAGAAATATTACACCATTCTTTCCCCTTCACCATGACAGTTCCCAGAGAGCATGCACCTCTTTCTGTTAGGCTTTTCTATCAGTGTCACCTAATATGAAAACACTGGTTTTATTCTAAATGGTAAAAGCAAGAACAAATTTATTTTTTATGTCTCATGGTTGCAAGTTTGAATTAGAACGCATTATACCGAGTGCTATATAAACAAGGAAATGGAGAGTAGGGCTGGTCCAAAGACCTTAGCTCTGTGAGAAAGTATGCATTATGAATATGAAGGAATGAGCAAGCAGTAAAAGAATACTAATGTGCATTTGTGCAGTCCTGTTACTTAGATGTCTTTACTACTACTGTTAGGAAATTCCAAAGATTTACCTGTTGTCTTGGGTCTATTCCTTCTGATTGTTTGACTGAGGTAGAGACAAGTAGTCCTTCTTACTTAGTGTTATTATATATGTGATGGATTTCCTTTTTTCTTTCCAGTCTTAAGATGAGGAAGTACTGAAAAGAATTGCTACTGTATGCCCAATGCCTGGACTTTGGAGAGATGTGAGGGAACTAATTAAACATCAGTGTTTTCTTAGCTTGGAATCAGTAAATATATTTGTAAAGTTGAAAAATAGGAAAATCTATTTAAAAACAAACAACAAAACTCTTTGGTAATAAAAAGTTGTTCTTTGGAAAGATGAGATGTCTCTAGGAACAGTAGTGGAGTACTAAGTCTTACATTTAAGCCTCAAACTTAAATACAGTTCAGAACTGAAAACAAAAATTTAAGTTTTTAAGAACTCTGAAATGAACTATGGAATATTCTAGTGCCTTATCACTAGTCTGCCTAGTTCCCAGGAGAGGTTCAAAGAGGCTGGCTGTGTTAATTATTATGGCTGGCCAGAAAACTCATGATATTTTCTTGGTTATTTTAAGACACTTTTCGGGGGTTTTGCTCTTTGGATTCATAAACTAATATTTCTGAGGAAAAAAAATGTAACAGCTATGCTGTTCTCAATTTAATTTATTGATCATTAATATTAATATTTAAACTGAGCTATTTTTTTAATGCAGTGGCCAAATCTAGCTGTGAATGTGATGTTACTGACTTCAGAGATGTTAGTGGGGGGTAACTTGATACACTTTTTTATTTAAGAAAGTAAGTCAAGTATTTTAGACTCTAGGATGGTCCTTGCGAGTGATAAGCAAGATATGTCAATGAAAGAAATAATTATTTGTAAGTCAGTTTTGCTTTGTTTCTTCTTCAGGTGCCTAGTAGTAGAAACACATTGTTATGCAACTTAATAAAAATGAGGTTTTAAGAGCAATGTCAGTTTGTAATTTAGTAAGTGTGTACTGGAATATTGAAGTGCCTACTTTTTTTATTTGTTTTAGTTTGGGTTTTTTTTTCCTGAAGAAGAGACATACAAACTGTCAATTTTCTTGCACTTCCGTAGGTGTCAGGTTGTGTACCTTTATGCCTGTAAGGAGGATCTTAAAATTTAGCACTGTGCTTGCATGTCAACAGATTCTGGTGTTATCTCTGCATTTCTAAGGTTATGAATAATATGTCTGTTGCTTATAGTGAATAGTAGGAACAGGATCTGGATATCTACATGCTGTGTCAGTGTTTCATTTTGGCAGGAATTCTTCTACGGATGTCTGAAGGAGCTCATGTAATGGAGCAGGTGGAAAAAACAAGTAGATCTTCACCGAAGAAGGATGCTTTTGGCTGAGATGGAGCCTCATGAATCTATCTGTTGTGGATTGTTCTAAGTAAAATAGAAGTTGTTTAAAAAAAAAAAACCCCAAAACAAAAAAGGAAAAAAACCCCACCCAAAAAACCCCAAACCCCAGACTAAAACAGAACAGAGTGAGGGATGCTTTTTCAGTGAAATTAAGACAGAATTCCATCTAGGAATGGGTTGGAAGTGCAGTCTGAGCGGGTGTTTCTGATTCAAGCTGTGTGGATTCAGAATGATTTTGTTTGCAAGTGTTAGGTGAAACCAGATTCATGGTAGTGTTAACTGTGGATAAGGTGGAGAAATTTTTTTAAATATTCATTTCATGAGGAAATGAGGCTTATGCTATTGCTTTCAGTCCCTGTTCTCCCATTACAGATTTTGAATATGTTGCTCAGTTTTAGTGAAATCATTTATAGTCTCAATTATTTACACTTCTCTTTTTTAATCAGGAACTGAGTAATGATAGAGCTCGACTGCATGCTTCACCAAAGAAAAGGAAGGTTGAATCCAGTCACTGTAGATTCTATAGAAGCTGTCTGGTGTTGAAACATACTTGGAGATTTAGAAGAGCTGTAGCCTATAGCTACCATGTAGGACCATGGGAGATGACAGAACTAAAAGAACTAGGGAACAAGAACACACCTGTATGGAAGCCAGCACTGAACATCTTAATTTCACTGTTTTACATGACCTAGGTGACTTCCATTTGTTTAATGGAAATTAATCAATTCAGTCCGTGAACTGGAGAGCTGTTCAGATGCCCAAAAGCTGAATTCGGCTTTTAGGGTGAGCTT